ATGCCCAGAAACCGCCATCAGCCGGCTCAACGTGGGCATTTTGGTCGAGAGAAAGCCGGACAAAATCTGACGACGCCAAAAATGCCAAGCCTCAGCCGGAATCTGGTGAACTTGCAGTCATGGGTCAAGGCTCAGAAGCACATCCGGAGAGAACAAGTGTGGATCAATCCGAGCGGGACAGCGTCTTGAAGGATGCCAAGGACGCGAAGGCCTCGAAAGATACGAAACCCGCCAAAAGTATCAAGTCGGGCATTGCATCTGCGCCGTCGACTTTTGGTAGGAAGAGTAAGAGAGTCCGGCCCCAGTCGATGGAGATCGATGTTCAGGCGAGGCCAGAAACGCCTACACGTCCCGATTCGGCTGCGTCTTCAAGAGCCTCAATCACCGACAAGACACCAAAGGAACCGCCCCTCAAGCCGGGAACCCCAAAGAGTACCAGCCAAGAGACCCCATCAAAGTCAACGCCACCCAATCTTTTACTGCCTTCATTTGGCAGCACGTACCGGATGAAGGACAACCCATCGATTATTAAACAGATCACATCCCTGCTTTTACGAAACCAGCAACCTCCCGCAAACCACGTTTATAGAGTAAAAGAAACACCAAAGATCAAGAAAGCTCTCGCCATCGGAGTCCACGGTCTTTTCCCCGCGACGTATCTCCGTCCCATGGTAGGACAGCCTACGGGAACTTCGCTTCGCTTTGCAAGTCTCTGTGCCGAAGCTATCGGCAGATGGGCAGACGCCCACGGGTGCTCCGATTGCGAGATTGAGAAGATTGCCCTGGAAGGCGAGGGCAGAATTGGAGATAGAGTAGACAACTTGTGGAAGCTCCTTCTTAACTGGATCGAGCAGATTCGCAACGCAGACCTCATCATTCTGGCATGCCACTCTCAGGGCGTCCCTGTCGCAACCATGCTTCTGGCAAAGCTCATAGACCTGGGCATCATCACGAACGCCAAGATTGGTGTCTGCGCGATGGGTAAGTCTGCTGTATACTCTGTCGTGACAGTCATGCTAATACTATCGCAGCCGGAGTCTCTCTAGGCCCATTCCCCGACTACAAGTCCAGCATGGGCATTCTAATGGGCTCCGCCAACGAGCTCTGGGAATTCTCCAACCCAGACAGCGAAGTCTCCAAGAAATACGAAAACGCACTTAAAGAAGTCCTCCATTACGGCGTCAGAATGACATATATCGGCAGCATAGACGACCAACTCGTCCCAATGGAATCCGCCATTTACTCCCCCGCCTCTCATCCCTACATCTACCGCGCCGTCTTCATTGACGGTCGTATACACGCCCCAGACTTGTAAGTACCCTCAAACTTTCCCATCCCCGATTCCCCTCAACCAACATACTGGCCAGCATCGCCCACCTCGTCGGCTTCGCCCTCAAACTCCGCAACCTCGGCGTCTCAGACCACGGCCTTGTGCGCGAACTCTCCACCCCGCTCGCCGGCAGCCTCTACTCGGGCGAGGGCCACTCCCGCCTCTACTACGATGACCAGGTCTACGATCTCGCTGTCGCCCACGCCCTCGAGACGGCGGACGTCAAGCCCAACGTCCCCGCCACCGTCGCCCACCGCCGCGACGCCGGCTCCTCCCTCGCGAACCCGAACCCGTACCACCTGCCCTGGATCATGCGCGGCCTGCTGGAGGAGGACTTTGTCCGCACCGAGCTATCGTCCGAGACGGAGGAGCTCCTGAGGCAATTCGACGACTGGAAGCCCGTCACCAAGGCGCTGAAGGATGTGAAGTACCGGCTTGAGGCTATTCGGTCCAAGTTGTAATGTACCACCAACTACCGCCGCGCTCTTTTTCTTTTGTTTTGGTTGCTTTCACCGTATTAGGCGTAATGGGTCATTTGCAGGGAGGATACATCCAGACGGAGAAGGCGTTTTTGATTACTCGCAAGATGTAACAACCTAGAACTTATTACACGACCGAGGGAAGGGGGAATGATGCATGGAGTTCGCGCACTGCTTATTACAGGAGACCAGATACAATATACCAAAGACTTTCATTTTTTCCATCAAACGTCAGCCCACGGATTTTGTTTGATCTCATATACGCTACTATCGTGACTTTGGCCTGGATGTCTTCGTCACTCACTCAACTAACACAGCATTCTCAATAGATGTGATTGTTATAAGTCATGAGATTTCTACAACTAACCGGGCGTCCTCTTAGCCCAATCATGATAACTTTTTCTTTTCGCCTTTTACGAAGAAAACGTCAGCCAACCATTACTTTTACACGGATTCTCCTTTCCCTCTTCATATGGTACAAACAATGGCCTCGCCATTCTAATCGCGTCTAGCAAATCTAGCGCAAGCACTCATCTATCTCCCTGGAACACATCTCATACTTCATTCACCTCTTACCCAGCTGCCAGTCATGAATCGTATTCTGGATAGCCTCCCACGTCAACGAATGCGTGCTCACGCCGTGCGCCTGCGCCTCCTGCAGCACAACCGTCGGCGCGCCGCTGCCCCGGCCCGCGTTCTCCACCATCCCGCCGACCACCACCCGCGCCACGCGCCGCAGGTCCTCGACCGTCAGCGCCTCGATCTTGCGGCACATGTACGTCACGGGGATCTTGCGCCCGTGCACCTGGACCTGCCTTCCCAAATCCTCGAGCTCGACCATGCGGCTCTCGAGGTTCATCAGCAGCGAGGAGCGCAGCTGATTCTTGGCCCGGTCGACCTCGCCCTTCTTGAGCGCCGAGAAGCCCGTGTCGAGCGTGAGCGCGCGCAGCTCGCGGCACATGACGTCGAGCATCGACGCTGTGCGGCCGGGGATGCAACTGGCAGAAATGCCGAAGAGGCCGGAGTCGGTGTAGGAGTGGTTGAAGGCGACGCACGACTCGACCCAGCCGTGCTGGTTGAGCACGTTGGTGTAGAGGCGCGAGTACATGCCCTTGCCCGGGCCGCCGGCGGAGAAGGAGCCGCCGCCGCCGAGGAGGGTTTGGAGCGTCGCGAGGGCGTAGATGTCGTCCGAGTTGATGGGCAGGCCCTCGAAGGCGAGGTGGATGTGGGTGTAGTTGGGGTTGCTGGGGTTGTTGGAGGGGGGCTGGGGCGGGAGGGAGAGGAAGCCGCCGGTGTAGCGGGCGGGGGCGTTGATGTCGTGGGTCAGGGGCGCGGAGGAGGTGAGGACGTCGGCATTGGCGGGGGCGGAGGTGGAGAGGTTTTTGAAGAAGGGGACTTTGGAGAGGAGCTTGGAAGGTTGTTGGACGGTGGAGGGCGAGGAGGAGGTGGATGTTGAGGAAGCGAAGGATGAGGCGTCTGAGATGGAGGTTTCTGAGCCGGTGCGGGAGAGCGTGGGCTCTGAAGCCTTCATGTCGCCAAAGTACTGCTCCGCGAGCTGCACAGCCTCGCCGTGCTCAACACCAGCAAACGCAACCACGATGCGCTCCGGGCGGTAGAACAGATCGCGGTACCGCAGTATCGTCTCCCGCGAAATCGCACCGAGCCTGTCCTCCGGGCACAGCAGCGGGTTGCCCAGCGTATTATCCTTGAACGCCGCCGTGTGCACGAGCTCCGGCAGGATCAGCTCCGGCTTGCTCCAGATCTCGTTGATCTCGTACTCCGCCGTGAGCAGCTGCTCCGCAATCTCCTCCTCGGTCAGGTCCGGGTCGCGGATCGTCTCGGCCAGCAGCCCAATCGTCGTCGGCACGGCGCCGTTGAAGCTGGCCGCCTGGTACATCATGCTCTCGCGCGAGCTCGCGCACTGGATGCTCCCCCCCAAGGCCTCGACTTGCTCGATCATGTCGTCGGCGGAGCGGCCCGACGTGCTCTTGAAGGCCAGGCGGTCCATGATGTGGCTGACGCCGCGCAGGCCGGCGTCCTCGTACCGCGAGCCGGCGTCGACGTACACGCCCACGCCCGAGAAGGAGCCCGGCAGCGCCTCCGAGGCGACGCGCAGGCCGTTGGGCAGCGTCGTGATCGCGTCGAGGTCCGTCGGTTCCTTGGGGATGGCGTCGATCTTGACGTTTTTCGGGCCGCGGGGAGCGGACTTTAGTGTTGGTGGTGTTGTTGATAGTGCCCGGACGGTAGTGGTGCGGAGTGCGGAAGTGGTGAGTCTTGAGGCCGGAGCCGCGGCCGTGGCGACGGTGCGCCGCGGGAGGCGCGTCGCTAATGTTCGAAGCATCGCGATGTGTGTTGTGTATTTGGGTGGGAGTATTCGAATTCGTCAACCCGGGGCGGCGGGGGGAGGAGAGTTGAGGTTAAGATGGCGGGTTGGGGTGGGTTTTCCGCGATGGCGAGGGCCTGGGAAAAGTTCGCTGCTCTCGGAAAGCTGGTTTGCTGCCGCCCGGGAATTCTTGATCTTCCTTATCGGTCTTATCGCCATCGGAGGTATCGGGACCCTGGCCAGCCGTGTGAGCCAATCAGCGACGAGCCGTTGCATGCAGCTGGAAGACGTCATCCGGACCCTTCTCCTCGTCCTGCTGACAGCCTCTCGCGAAGGAGCGAACCTCGAGACATACTAGACGAAATAAGCATCTTGGCCGTCTTTTTGAGATATGACTGATCTCTAGGATGGGTTCCTCAGCAGCACCCCATTAAGGCTCGACCACAGATGCGGCCATGAACACCTTTCAGCTGTACATCGGATGGCACGAATAAGTAATGGGAGTGACGAATTTTGAAAATCTGGTGGCTTATGCCGCGTTCTCGCTGTATTAGTGTGATGCTATAAATGACCTCCGGAATGCCAACGCTCCATGGTCACGTAAAGCCGTCGCTGTTGTATGAACCATTCTCTGCCGCCCAACATTCCTTGCCCCAGCCAGCGCCACAATGAAAAACAACTCTGTTCCGGTTTAGCGAGCAGAGTTCGCTCCACAATGCATCAAAACGCCTTACACCATCCTACGCGTCGCTCATGCAGCCGGTCTCTTCCTAGACTCCGTTGATGAAGCCCTTTCAATATCCGTTAACATCAAACTTGAATCCCGCTTTCGGCAGCCCGTGACGGGCTCATCATGCCGGGACCGGTTCTACCGGTCAACGTCCATCTCTGCAGCCTCGTCAAGACTTCTCATCCCGTTGGCAGCTTCCGCAGCACGGCGACCGGCGCTTCCATCAAATACCCATGGCCCGGCGTCGTTACGCGGGGTGATGGGACCTTCAGTACCGTTCGTCAGGTGGTTTCCAATGGGGGAAGGCGTCCGGGTGTCACGGCCAGTACGTGGAGCGGCCGCTTGTGATGGCCCGACCGAAGGAATCGGGACAGGTTCAATAGTGGCGTGGGGAGCAACCGATTGCGGTGGAGGCATCTCAGCCATGGTGCGGGCCCGATCCAAGGCCACGGTGAAATCCATAGCATCAGGCTCGGTGCCAATCTCAGGCAACACAGGCCGCGAGCTTTCTGCCGAAACCGCGACGGGGGCGGGGAGAGGGTCGCTTGGAACCACGGCCTTGTCCTTGGCCTCCTCCTTCTGCTCAAGCTCCTCGTCTTCGTCCATTTGCTCCCAGTCTTCTGCAGGATCCTCAATGTCCGCCTCGAGGTCGGCAGCCATGCGGCAGTTCGGACACACGAAAATGGGATATTGTGGGGAATTCAATAGAGAGCGGATGCACTTGAAATGCCAGGTGTGCGAGCAAGGCGCCACGAACAGGCACTGGCATGGCTGAAAGATCATTAGTCTCTATGCTGGCACGCGATGTGGGGAATTCATGCATGCATGCCGGCTACATACCGCGATTGAGTTGAGACAAATGGAACAGTCCTGGGTCGATGAAGAATTTGCCGAGTTGGCAGAAGTCATATTTCGTAGACGCTTGTGTGTTGCCATGCTATACCACGTTAGTGCACGAAATCGACTACATATGGCGGAAAACATACTTGAAAGTGTTGAGCTTGTTTTGCCAGCCACGGTTGAGCTCCAGCCTCATTTTCACGCAGCGAAAAATCATTTCCTCACCGCCCTTGAAGTCGATACCCAACTGCACGATGTCGCCATCGTTAACAGGGAACGGCTTCGACTCCGTGCCGGGAGGGCTGAGGCGGATGTGGTTGAGGAAAGTGCCCGAGGAACTTTTGACGTCTTTGATGTACCATTTCCCATCCTCGTACCAAAATTCGCAGTGTCGTCGACTGACAACCTTGCTCTTAAAGCCCACGGGGGCGGCCGAAGGGGTGTTGGCAGGCACGGGCGGCTGGTTGTCTCGCTCCGAGTAGCGGCCAACCCGAATGATCTCGTTGCCGCCAGGCAAAGTTCGCGATACGGGCGGGAACGTCAGGCTCGGGCGCGTTGCGCGGGGGTCGTAGTAGGCCGAGAAGCGGATCGAGGGAAGGCTGTCGGGCACAGGGGACGATGCCTTGGGCACGGCGTCGCCCGTCGTGGAAGCGCGTGCTCTCGTCATGTTGGCCGATTCGGTATCAACGTGAGGCTGAGATGGCTGCCCAACTTGCGGCGCGGATTGAACACTGCTGCTACTGCTGCTGCTCGCGATGGGGTCGTCGAGGAGGGGCGGGAGCGCATCAACTTGCGGTCGCTCCACGGCTGGCGAGGAGGGTGTGGTCGAAGATCTGTTTGCGGCAGAGACTGAGGGCTCCTGCAGCGAGGCGACAAGGGAGAGCGGGTTGAGGTTTGGATCGGTGTCAGCACGACGAGGGGCCGATGTGGGCGAGTAACTGAGGGAGCGGTGCAGACTCGGGGTCGGACGAGCAGCAGAGGTGCGGGAGTTCTGGGTTTGGCTTTGAGTTTGAGTTTGGGTCTGAGAGTGTGAGTGAGAGTTGGTGTTGGTGTTGTGGTGAAAGTGGGAGTGGGCGTGGGAATTCGAAGTTGGAGAACTGGAACCCTGACTGCTGTGCTCCCTGGAGAGCAGGTGATTTTGGGTGTAATTGCGGAGATAACTAAGGCCTCGCAAGCGACTGGACCGCACCGAGGGCGAGGTGGGATTATTGACAGACGTCGGCACGGGGCCCACGGTTGGTGGCGATGAGACTGGTTGTGTAAACATTTGAGCCTTCGAGGGGGGTGAGAAGTGGGCGGCGGGCTGTATTGGTGCTGGTCCTTTTTTCTCGCCAAAGGGCCCAAAGGGTTATGGCAATGTAATCAGAATCAGGTAGTGGCAGCAGGGCCGAAATGGCAGGTAAGCAGGCCAAGTTGGTAGTGTGATGCAATGGTGCCGACTCGACTCGTGGGTTTCGGGTGCGGGCTGGCTGAGTGACTAGCAGGCAGTAGGCGGTTTGCTTGAACCACTGTGATGCGAGTGCTTGCGCCTAAAGCAAGATGGACAGGCAGCGGTCTGTCTGGTGGTATGCCGTTGGTGCTGGCGCTGGTGCTTCCCTGGACTCAGAACAACAGCCAAGACACGATGCTGGACAGTGGACTTGTTTGAATTCCCTTGGGGGTCTTTTTCGGTATCCGGGTAGGGTTGAGAAAGAGAGTAGGGGTATCAAAAAAAAGAAATAAGAAACCCCAGGGCGACGGGCGACTTGACGTGTGACGAAAGGGGGAGGGCAGCGGGTGGCAGCGAGGGAGTGAGCCAAAAGCTAAACAGGCTACGCTGCAAGCATACAGCAGAGGCGGTTGCTTGGAATGTCGCGGATTGTCCCCAGAAGCAGGGCGGTCACCTTAATTCGCAAGCGTAAGGCGCAAGGTAACACGGGCGAGGGCGAGACGGGGGGAGGTTGGACGAAGGGACGAAGGAGAAATCGTCGAAGAGATGAGAGGGAGGGAGGTCCGAGAGACTCTGGGAGGAGGTGGTGGTGACGGGCGGTAGACGATATTATGGACCAGAACCAAGGACCTGCTACCGTAGACGGACCTAGGTCGGTAGACGGGCGAGCAGAGCAGGTGGCGGCCGGGATTGGCGAGACTGGGGAAAGGCGGTTTTCTTAGTCTGGGTCGCCGCTGCACGCCTTTTTAGAATTGGATGTGCCTGGTGCCGGTCCAGCTTGTTTGCTGCTTCAGGTTCCGAGCAGAGTTGAACCTGGGAGACGCAGAGGCAAGAAGCAGAAATGCTGCTTCCTCGAGATGCAGCTGGAGCTGGATGTCTGTGATAATATGGGCTGGATTGGGGAAGGGGCCAGTACTTTGGTCGATGGCCAAGAAGACGGGCGTCGAGTGCTTTTTTTCTCCTCTCTCACTCTCTTCTGCTCTGTCGTTGCAGGCGTCAGAGGCAGTCCCTGTCGGGGCAAGTGCGTGTGCGTAGGGAAGGGCCCGGACAGCAGGATGGACTGGGCGTGCAGGCGCTGTCGGTGAGGTTACCTCGAGAGCGGGCGAGGACTGCTCTGAATCGAGGTACCTTTTGGCGGGAGGCGGGAGACGTCTGGCGGATGCAAAGAGCTAGGAGGGTGTTTCTCGCGTGCGTGCTTGACTTGGCAGGGCAGCGAGCGGTCTTGGGTTGCTTGCAGGAGAAGGAAGGGTGATGCAAATCGAATGCTCGGGTGTGTTGTTGTTGTTGATGTGATGTCGATGTTGCTGTCCTGCCGGCCGTCGATGAAGCAACAGCATTTGCAAGGGCCTGAACAGGACGGGATGGGTATTCGTTCAGAAGGAACAGAACACGAGTGGCCGGGTTGGGTCCAGCCCAGTCGGTCAGGTTTTCTTTGGCGCGCGTGCCACTCTTTTGCCCGGCGCAGAGGGGGGCGTCGATGGAGACAATGACGACGGTCGAGGCAAGCAGGAGGAGATGCAATGAGGGCCAGGACTCCAGGGTTGTCTCCCAGGCTCCCAGAGAGGGTGCAGCCTCTGAATAATTGCAGGGAAGCCTGGCACCCTGGGAGGAAGGTCGCTTTCTTTGCCTTGGGTTTAGCCCGGTAAACAGAGGCCGGGCTAGGGCGAATTGGTTTTTGATGAGCAGGGGTTAAGGTTGCGGCCGCGATGGGATTGGACGCTGGCGGCGGGCAGCCCTGGTCGGGGGTGGTTGACTGCTGCTGCGGTGGTCGCTCGCCGGTTCGGTGGGTGGTGGTGAGGAGAGGGGAGGAGATGCCGTGACCGAGGGCGACGGTGACGGTGATGTTGATGATGATGGTGGTGGTGGTGACTCCCGATGATGGCAGACGTCCGGAGGGTGGCCGTCTGTCTGTCTCTTGTGTCGACGACCACTAACGAATTCCCAAGCCTGAGCAAGGACCCTGGAACCGACGGGAAGGTCTGGGTGGAAGTGGCAGCCGTGTGGCATGTACCTGCGTACCTTGCACTAGGACGCACCTCAGTATCCGTAAGAGCACAGAGCCTCCAACAGGTAAGGTAGGTACTTTGAATATCTACTGCATGGCATCTACTACGGAACCCGTCCTGCGCGTGAGATTTGTTGCGCGTGCACCGGTGCACCAGGGCATCAGTGCTCCAGACGAGCCGCTGCCATCGAGCTGTACAGAATACCCGAAGAAGCAACGGGAACAGAGCAGCTGGGTGCGGGATACAGGGCATGGCCTGGTCATGTGCGTCAAAGGTCTCAGTCTCAGCCCGCTCCGGGAGGCTGGGAGAAAAGAAAAGAAAGCTCTGGTTCTGGTTGTTGACGGAGAGAAGGCGCCGCAAGCGGACGGTACCTTCCTTACCTTAGGCACGAATAGAAACCTCAGGCTGTCAGTGTCAAGTCAAGTCAAGTTGAGTCTTTTTTTTTTTCTTTTTTTTTCTGAATAGGCAGGGAGACGAAATAAGGTATCCCAGGTAATCCTGAGCCGTGCGTGCATAGGCAGGTAGGTATCTACGAGGAGATGGAAAGAAGCTCCGAGCAGGCATCGGAGGTACACCGGCCCATCGGTGAGGGATCACGGAAAGATCTCAGATGGAGCGAGGCAGGGCCGAGCATCATGCACCGCTGCACCTTCCTGCGCGGCAATCTGGGACTTTGCTTCGCGCTTCTTTCTTGTCTCGCCTGTTGCGATTCGACAGAGAGCACCGAGCACGGGGATGCAACACGAGACGACGAGAAACGTCCATCATGTCGAGGCATGCAGTTGCACCTGTCGCTTCTTCACAAAACCCACGATACTTTCCTTCCCGTGCCTCCCGTCACCCGTGGAATGCGGCAGTCTCCGAACCTCTCTCTCCTCCTCTCGTGCAACCAACCAACCCTTTTTCCCTGTTTTAGATGTCGTCAGATGCAGGAATCGGCAGAGGCGAAAGAAGGGTTCAATTCGTCTCACCTCACTGGCCGTTATTTCCGGCTCTGCCGTTGCCCATCTCAGTCTCCACCGTCACCAGCACCAGCACCACCCCCAACCTCCATGCCCCCACGACAACCGCGGAACAAGATTCCCATCATCAGCTCATCTTCAACCTCATCCTTCCGCCCATCAGTCATCCAGTGTCCACCCATCGCGCCAATGGCGGCGTCAAGACTCAACCGCACCGCTGTCACGGACGGGAATGATTGTGACATGCGGCCAACCATTCCCAGGGCACCAGCATCACCGGCCGGTTCGTTGGATCTGCACCTGCATGTCCGTGGGCCATGCTGACCTCTTCTGGCGGGGCTCCCGTGGACGCTTTGCCGTTGACACCACTCCCACATGAACTGCCCGCCTCCCAACGCTTGCGCTGCGACGACAGGGACGACGGCGACGAGGATTGCCCTCGTGAGGTGGTGGATGGCTGCTGCCCTTGAAGCATGAGGCCCTCCCACTTCCACTCCCACCTCAGGCACGCACCCGAGGGACCTACCTAAATCTCCAGGGGGGTTCACGCTAGCGCACTCGCCCTCCTAGCGCCCTTTTCCCAGCGAGCTAGCTCCCTGATAGCGACCAACCCTCTCGCTGGAGCGCAGCGAGTGCAATCGCCCAGGCCTGTCCAGACGTCCGAGACCCCACCACTCCCGTCCCTCACCACGACGTCCAGTCCCTCACCTGACAAGTCGAATCTTGCTGGTGCTTGACACCCATTGGACGCTCCTCAGATCCCCGCCGGAGGTCCAGCAAATGGCTAGGAATCACCACTTGGCCGCCTCATGCAGCTTCCACGACATCGTGGCTCCCTTTTTTTGCCCCTTTCATTTGAGATGTTTACGGTATCTCTTCGTCTCAACACCACCGTCGGAACGCTGCATGACTAAGGCAGATCCCCCTTCCTGTTCATCTACCACAATGACATGGCAGCCAGCCGCCATGGGGAATTCAAACGTCGCTTCTCGAGCGTCCAGTCCACCATGACTCGTCCGGTCCGTCGTCCACTCTCCCGAAGCATCCTCCGGCTTTCCACGGCGGCTTGATACACCACAAAGGACAAAAGACCAGCAAACTCTGGAACGCGTCCGTTCCGCCGTGCCTCTGGCCCTCCACACTGGCATACCGAGCCCCGTCTTGGCGGAACAGAGCCATAGCCAGGAAAAAATTCTAGAAAGCGTGGAGCACACTCAGAAACACGGGTCCGAACCCGACCCGGCACACCCGGCTTGCTGGCTCTCTCTGT